GCATCAAAAAATACTGGCAAAATGTAAACTCATTAAATAGGTATCGCTTAGATGCTCCACATACAAAAAGTTTTACCCGAGCTAAAAGTCCCAAAAATATACGAGCTGAAACAGCCAAAAATTCAAAAGGTGCAGAGAGGCGCAAAAAATCTAGCTGCTGAAGTGTATCTAGATGACCCAACTGCCAGCTGATATTGTCCTCACTGAAACAGTCATTAATTTCCGTGTGATAAAAATCCAAAAATGGGAAAATATTTTGAGGCATTTCCAAGCTTTCCGAATCTAATCCTACTGAGGATCTTTTCCTCAGATTATAATCAAAATGAATTTTCCCCAGATTTTTCAGAAGCCACATGAAAACTGGCAATCCCACAGACCTTCGATTTCTGGTTAAAAAAAAAATACATTATTAATCGTAATGGGAATTCGTTCATATAGTTCATCTTCGCTCAGATGTCGAAATCGCCGTACTCTAGGCAAAATGGGTTTTCGTCTGAGTAACAAGCGAAGCTATAACGAACAAACGCTTACGCACCATCTTGGACATGATTATCCTATTCCACCATAGTAAGTAGAATAGATTTTAATCTGCCGCCTAACGCGGTGACGGCTGCCATAGGAGACACGTTTGACTGAAGCCACTGAATAAAGAGTGTCAGTGCGCAGTACGTGCTGTGAAAGCTGATAAATCTCATCAATTGCGCTTTTATTGGTGACCCTTCGACCTCAAGACACCCACTTACTCATCCATCGTATTCTCGACTAATTGTGCCTTTTAGTTCATTTAGGTAAGCATGTCAAATGACTGGACAGTATTTTCCTTTAGATGGGCTTACGCTACAGGTTAACCACCCAAAAGTCTAATACTTCTGCATATGACAAAAGTCCTTATATATTTATCATCCATTTTCCGCTTGAACTTGCTTAAGGCGCGGTTACTACGAGGGAGCAAATGGGGAATGCTTACGATGACACTGATACTACAATTTAACTGATCGCAATATTCTTCGCTGCCACCGATTGGCAATTTTCTGGCTGATTTTTCAAGCAGATTTATGATTATTTTCTGGACCGCACATTTAAAGGAAGGCATATTTGCCCGTGACGATCCGGAGCACGCGGATAGACGGTATACAACTACAACCACAATAGGCGGAATATGGCGGCTGCGGCCACCGACTCACGTCATTGGGCAAACGGTACAGCGCATCTCTCTCCGAAATGTGCCGTGTGTAATGGCTTTGGACAGTCTTCATCTTCTATGCGTTGTTAATCAGAGATGATGTCGTCTTAAGGCCAGTAACATGCATTGCCTCTGGGTGGTATGAAAAAGCTGTCGTATGTCGACAACAATGTGAACCTGCTTTTCTCTGGCGTTACAAACGCGTCAGTCACGTGTTTCGTCGTCTTCATTGGCACGGAAAATTTTACAATCTATGCATACTGAATAAGGTTATCAAAGAGTTCCCTAGTACTCCATGGACGTCCTTCGGTTCAGCAGCTAGTATCGAGCCTAAAATCCACCAGTATCTAATGCAAGGCAGTTAGTGTAACTTATGGCCTAGGCGCTGGTTTAAATATTTGCGTACGTTTTTGCCGACCTTTCCGAACGTCATCAACCCTGTCTACTGGGCTGTTTCAATTTCCGTTCGTCACCACATTACATTGAGATGTCATTGTCGAACCACAGTCAGCTTCACAACTTTTCGACGTCCGCAAAGACGTTCCTCTCGATTTAGGCGCTAACTTTAATCCAGCTACGTACATGTATATCTGGCGTGGGTCTGCGCTGCTTCGGAAGGCTTGTCGACTTTTCTGGTCTGCACCTGAATCGGCGGCCAGTACCACACAGGTTTTATTAGGCGCCTTCTACGCTTGAGTTATTCCTCAGCCAATTTGGCCACTAGCTCAGTGGTGGGTCATTTTTGTCGTAACAGGTCTCCGAAGTTAAGGGTAAAAGCTCAACATTTATTCCCTTGCTAGTATTCAATCAGATGACAATCTCCATCTCTATTAATGTTCGCATCAATATTTCAAATCACATTTATCGACAATAATTAGCACCGTAATAATTCCGTAAGCACAATAAAAACAAAGGCTAAACACTACAAGATTTTCTGTTCACCTTATCGCCAATGACAGGGTTGGCGATAGGAGACGCCTTACCAAAAAGGCTCCGTCTTTTGAAGGTGCGCAGCACAAATGGTTGGATTGCTTCACGTGGGGTGTATTAGCTGACCCTCATGTTCAGGCGAAAGGTATCAGCACGAGCTATAACGAATTACCAATTCAACAACATAACGCTATCTACTGACGGATGCTGAATGTATATAATTAATTATAATTACCTGACACCTCGTTGTTGACATAAATCAGCGTACGTAAGTGGGCATAATTAGTTCCGATCGGTTGCATCATCAGCGCGACAAACAACAGATTCGCCATATTAAAGATCCACTTTTGTCCATAAAGTTTTCATCTTTCGCTGATGACGCAAGTTCCGCAATAATCAGTGTCATCCATGACATTGAATCTTTACGATTACTGATAGAACCCCTTCTGCGTAAACCGCTAGGGAACCTGTGACCACTTCTAGACGTAGTAAAGCAAAAAGGTCACGTTCAGCGTGGTAGTCTCAGGGATGCCTCAAATAGCCCCTATAGCTCTTACCATGGAGTTGCCCCCCGAAGGATTTCGGCACAAAGGCAAAGCAAGGGCAGCAGTAACAGCAATTCAGCCGCTCAGTGGCGATAATAGTACGAAAACAATCATCATCCACAATCCTTAAGGTCGACTTACTGACGAAATCACGAATCAATTAGATTGATAGCCATTTGGCAAGTGCATTACGGCCGCCTTTATTTGTATACCTATCGTGGGGTTTAGCCATTAGTGGAAGATGGAAGTCGATGCATCTGTTTAATGGTTGTAGTAGAACAAGTCTTGCGAGAAGTTGGTGGCTCACCTGTAGAACACTGATGGTAACAATGATTATTCTTGACCGTGATTTTAGACCCGAAATTTTCGGCTCGATAAATGATAATAGACTGAATTCATTACCTGGAACCCACAAGCGTCAAAGACGCGTACACGACTTTTGGCATCGGGCAGTATGCCCCTAAATTTTCTGTGTTTTGTTTGGCTAATGTTGCCTCTTTCGTTAATGATGCCATAATTGTTTGTGACCGTAACCGTCTATTGGTTTGTTCCCTCCACTGTAGATCCATCCATGTGTATATGAAATAGGTTACACAACAAGGGCCGCTTTGAAACAAAGCTGGCTGGAAAACACAGTGCAATATTTATAGCAGTTACTTTTACGGTTCTGTGGTTCATTTCAATATCTATGTATCATACATCCAGTGTCATATACTCATTTGCTTATCCGAATCTTCACAGGAATCATCTCATACAACAACAACGTGGTAAAGGCAATTCGTACTTGATCTTGCTGAGTAATTAAATCAGTGGACAAAAAGCCACATCGATATTTCTCTCTATATATGTGTGTGTGTGAATATATAAGGAAATCGATGTGGAAGAATAAGAACGAAGGGACAAGGAGAACAATGATTGCAAACAGGAATTGAATAAGGTGCATCGAAGTGATGAACTGAACGAAAAAATACTGCTATCAGTATCAGTATTTTTTATCATTAGTTTCTTGTATTGGCCATAGTTGCATCGTTGACAGCCTTGATGTATCAGTGGGAACGGACAGAGACGGTGGAGATCTGTAGGGCGCAGATGGCGCGGTAAGGCAGATGAAGATACTGTTCTGGAAAATTAAGTAACGCCAAAGTCAATGACTCACAGGGCGGCTAATAATGGCTGACGTATCAGTTGATTTTGCTTGCAGTTAAAAGAATCAGGCATCGAGGTGCCGTACGGTTGATGAAAAATTACCTACGATTCATCTAGCGTTCGCGCATTGCTTCTGAGTCCGAGCCACATAACACGACAAAGACAGCAAAACAATTTTAATTGCATAGGCCATGTTGGTATAGGCACGCGGAAAGTCGACAGGTGTCGACCGTTCAGTTTTTTTTTAATGAGAGTTGAAAGCCAAAGGCAAAGCGATTGCAGGACCACATTGAATAGTTTCCATTGCATTTTTAAAGATCAAACTATTTACTATAAATTGTTTCGTAAATACGTGAATGTTTTGTTGGATTTCTATAAAGAATACGTAACGATTGTACACGGTGGAGGATTAGCGGTACAAATATGAATTGCAGAGAGGCTTACATTTTATCCGTGGAACGAGCTGAAGAAGTAGCTGGTGTCGGATGCGACACGAAACATAGCAATATGCGCACACTTCAGGTCTGAGAAATAAGGCTTTTCCTAGACTTTGTTCAAGGACAGTCGTTTTCATTAAAGGATCAGGCCAAGCTTAATTACGCATAGGTACAGAGCGCTACGTGTAGGAGTATGTACGTAAGTACAGAGCTCTAGAAATATATGCTATTAGAAGAAATATTGTGTAGCGGCTAAGACAAGCAGATAAATGGAGTTCTATGGAAGAAATTAGAGATTGGTTGGATTTTTCTATAGACTGATACCATTGATAATCGCCAAAGATTAGGTATATTTTGTTTAGACAAAAACATAAATCTGTTTTCATAGGAACAAGAACTAGTGTATTTCTATATATTTTTATTTCGTTCAATTGAACAGCATTCACGTATAGTGTCATTATATACCATCGAGGCTAAGGGCTTTTGTGCTCTTAAAAAGGTAGGAAGATGATGAATTACATGCTGAAGATTTAAACATATAGTTCAATAGATAACACCTCTATTGAATGAAAAGATGTCAGGGAGTGACACTAGGATGCGTTACTACACCTTTTGAAATTTTCCATGTAACAAGCTAGAAGGCTTATGATTCGTACATATATATATATATATATATATATATATCTATCTATATAATTCTGTATTTTCGAAATTGTCTGTATTATACATCTTGCTAAATATAATACACATACGTTGCTTGTCGTGATTCTCATCATGTCAACTATAGCCCCCCAATGACCAGGTGCGTCATACCCGAAGTATCGCTACGATTGTCTGACAAATGTTATTTTTTCTAAATAATGTCACTTCAAATAACACAATAACAGCATTTATGTGAGAGTGCCGCGTAATGGGCTGCTGGTTGAAGTTCTCACGCCGATATAACATACAGACAGACCAACGATTGGCAACCTTATCAAGTGAAAATTTCAACCGTATAAATGTTTTTAGAATAAGAGTCAATATTGTGACCTTTATTTATATCATTTTTTTCTTTTTTTAAATTTTATTCATATCAAAATTCTCCGTACATATTACAATCAGAATTTGTAGGCCCTACCTACGTTCATAATCATAGTTTAACCCATGAAATGAATGTTATATACAACATTAAACTCCATCTTACAGACTGGTGAGCGACTCGGTGGATGATAAAATAATAAATAAACGATTTCGTAAGCGTTTATATATTGCTTAATAAAATCAAACCACAGTTATTTCTATTACCGTTGCACTAGTCGTAAACTTGTATCGCTCCGACTGATAAAAATCCCTGGATAACGACCCTAAAGAAGACGGTCCCCTACAGATTGTACAGTCATCTTCCAATATTATCCCTTGCATAAATAACGTGTAGCAATCCAATAAAATTCCCAATTTTAGCTTAGAGAAGCTTAAGCTACATTTTTTTAAAAAAAAATTAATCTATTAATTTTTTTAGAAAATTGTACGAAAGTGGTTTTCACTTTATACATAAAGATGACACTAAATATATTGGGCAATAACAATAAATTTAGGCAAAAATAAATAGGTTAAGGTTGATGCTTTTCACAGTGCTTATAATCAGCGTGCTATTCTAATGCTCCAATTTACAGTCGAACGACTCGGGAACCTAAAACAGATTCTGCTGAAAATATAGTCCACGTACTATTTACGACAGAATGTGATTTTTTAACTATTTCTTTCCGGATAAATAGACCTTTAGCTAGCGTCTCAATTGTCCAGAATGGCGTTATCTGATTTGAGAGCAAAGTGGATACGGAACCCACCCTGATTCACTGAGTGTCGAGCTCGAAATACGGCACGAATCCACGATGATTCGGAATCGAACGATCGGAGTACGTTCGAACCACACAGAGTAAGGTTACTTTTGGCCGTGTAAAACTGAAATGAAGAAAAAAATATAAAGAGAATGAGGATAAGCGATTTTTCGATTTCTCAGTAAAAGTTCTCTTGATATAAATTAAGTCTCTGTTCCATCTATCCTGTGTTTTTGTTAACGACGCTTATATACCAGTGAAGTTTATTTTCGACCCATACAAGTCTATTAGACGCCGTGATTAGAACTATTACGGTTTCGGTACTGATGAAGTGACAGGAACGCTAGTTAAGAGCGGCTACGGGGTTCCTGCTGCTACCGAGCAAAAAACTGTCAGGAAAATATGAGTTTAACTTCATCTTGCCTAAAGAACCATGTTTCGGACAATAATACAATAGAACAGATGTTTTCTAATCATTAAAAGATGCGATTTGAGAGCTACATAACAGCTACTACGTAAATGGAAACATGATAATAAAAGGAGACAAGCAGAGCTTTATTTTGAAGCGGCGATCGGGATTCATAACATGAAATCTCACATACTTTACAAGCGCGCTTGTCCCGTTACGACTGAACGCTGCGGAAGGCGTGCCTCGCATTACTTCCAATCACAGAGATTAGTGAAAACGGGCTAAAGGCTTTGAAGGGTTGTAACCTACCGGTACATATATCTGACGGATATCCACCTTTCTGTTGTTTTCTGTGTTACTATGGTTCGATATATGTCTGGTAACACAGGTCGCTCGACCTATTTGTTTGTTGTAAAAACTCTGTCCTCGTGTGTGTCGCGGAAAACCTGTTTTTGCAAGTCGGCCCAACAAACTACTTGATACCGAGCGACCCAGACAGCGATATCCAGCAGAGGAAACAAACTTTCACTATCTCTGAATAATATAAGAATGTGCTAGGTATAAAAAATGCACGCAGGATAAAACCCGAGCATGAAAATCTATTACATTATTAAAACTCTATTCCCATATATACCATTTTCCTATTTTACGTTCAGGCGACTTGCTTACGTTTTATCGTTTGTGCAGTTCAGTAGAGCCAAGTCGTATGATTATTACGATATTTATTCGATGCAATCATTTTTTTACTTTTATAATTTCTAAAATGCTATTCTCTGTCATTCTAGAGAACCGTTTTAGGTCTCAGAGCTACTTACAAACGGCACTGGGGAGCCTTGCACAGGAGGAAAATCTTCGAATCAGCTGCCCCACCCCCAAAGTCTGTTTAGTTTTTAGCTCGCCCCAACAGACTTCCTTTGATTTGCTGCCACACTGTTTGGCCTGGCGTAAAGATGGCCGAATAGGTCCAAAGATTCAATATGATGGTTGTGAGAAAGGACATGCTTGAACAGACACTTTAATTTCAACGGGTCCTCTGCAAAAAAGCTAAATTGAAAACCGTGCATTTAAGCATGACTATGCTCGATTAACTAAGCTGTGTGCATGTGTGTTTATAAATATGCGTTATTATTTTGATTTCACATGTACAAAATTTTACTTATCTGTCATTTTATATATATATATATATATATATATATATATATATATATATATTTCTTCGCAAACTATTCTGTCCCTAGGTGGCTGGCCTTTCGGGTTTGGCCTTTGCTCTATTGAGCTGCACCTTATGATTTTCCTGGCTTTCTTCAGACACAGTGTGTTTAGTGGTGTAATGGAAGACGTAACTATAAATAGTGATACGATGACAGTCACTGGTATAGCTGCGAGCAACTTTCTGCGATCTTTTTCTAGAAGGAGACAAATCAGGAAGGATGTTACTGAATTTTGGCTAATCTCACAACTTACATACAGCTCTACCCAGGAGGAACTTCTAGCAATATGTTGGTGAAGGTAGCACAAGGCCCGTGGACATACTATATCTTGATATATTAGAGACTATCTCACATTTGAATCTATGGTGTCATTCTGAATGACACAATCGTAGCAAAGTATGAAAGATAATAAGTGCTTAAACAATAAAGTATAAGCTAGTAGATATAGAAGGTATGGCAACAGACTTAACAAAAATTTATTACGGTAAGACTATTTGGCTAAATAATTCCAATGCTGATAAACCTAAAAATGCGTTTCAAACCGAATTAATTGTGTTGCGCTCTCTTCAGGCAGTAGGAACATAACCCTTTGAAATTTGTGCTACGTCTTCAGTTTAAACCTACTTTTTCAAAATAGGTATCTGATTGCAGATAAATATTTACTATGTAAGTTCAGTGTATTGGAGGTATTAATCACTAGCTTTCAAGTGAGGTTTTGTTCTGTGACATTGGCCATCCGATCGACACTGGACGTAGCTGACATCACTTTCCTACCCAAGAGTCCCAAGACAAAATTGAGCTTTTAAAGGAATCAACACGCGTATTTGATAGCGATACGGATCTCAAGGCCGAGCGTATCTGCTGTTGCTGAACTTTTTAGACGGCCAAATTAACATATACAAGAGAAGGACATTGGCCGTGTCCGCTTTTCTTTCTCTACCGAGCTTTACAGTATTCGGCTGAGATGTATGCAACAAGATTAGAAATGTCGGACAGTAAACCAGACTGCAACCCCATGGTAAACAATTGCGGCCGTACCTTCTGTTGAATAATTCTGCTCCTATTCAAACAGCTCATCATCGTGGAAGCCTATAATAATTGTCTCTTGAGCAAGAAATAGCTTGTACTTGATAAGTGATTGGAGAGATTTTCATGGAACAAGCAAACTGAAATAAGGAACGCTATAAAAACGACAGAATAACATTGGAATAAACTTTTAAGTAAAGTGTATTTTTTTGTCGCATTTCTCTTCTAATCAAACGTTAGATATGAATTTTTAAGCGGACATAATACATGTAGCTACATACACACAATCATATATATGCCACCTTGTACCTGCTTGATCGAGAACGACATGTCTAAGTATACGCTTAATTAATATTCCCTCTATCTTACTTAGGTAAAGTATTGGACTTATGATATCTATCATGTCGGAGACATAACCTATGGCAAGATAGGCAAATAATGCAAACACGCTTAATTTAAACTATGATTTCCAAGAAACGGAGAAATAACCTCTATTCTATAGATACATTTTCACACGATTCTCCACTACACCAACGTACGTAATCCCGCTCCGGTCTTGCTCAATAAATTATCGTCTTACCCCAGACAGATCTCAATCACGAGAAATTATTGAGAAATGACTATTATTCGTTTGAGGCCCTTAGCGGTCCTTAAACGAGTCGTAAGAAGGAAAGCAACCGCCCAATCTCCCTAATGTCAACATGAGGCTTACCGTTAGGGAGTCCCTATTGCATTCTCCGGTAAGCACGTCAGCCTCCTGCATTTCGTAGGAGAAGCCTTCAATAAGGATGGCTTGCCGTTCCTTGGGAGACCGGATGAACCATTCACACGTAACGTACGCAGGATACGCAGCAGGAAAAAACGGTGTTTCAATGCATGATGGAACGAACTGCTCCGCGCCGCACCAATATGAGGCAATCAAGGTTGAATGACTTGTGCATACTGTAGGCCGGTGTCCAGTAGTCCCATTGACATCGATTTGGAAAAACGAGATCGGTGAGGATTTCAAGTTAAACTAACGTATACTTAATAAGAGTTCAGTTTTTTCTAACAGCGAAGGTGAGCCCTTTGCAGCACTTCCTGGAATGTTTTCATACATCTATATATAACGTATTCAGTAAATAATACTGTTTTCTTAATATATATATTCGTTTTACAGCAGAAGTAACTGTCACGGCGATAACACGGCGTTGAGTTTCAGGTATACTACTGCAATTTGGCTATCAAGCTTGTTTTGGACTGAATAAACTTAAACCTAGATCAACCTAGATCAAAGTGTATGGTCTTCTAAGTATGAGTCTAACCTTTCAAGATAATTGCAAACTGTATGATCGAAATATAATTACAAAAATTGAATTTTATTACATGCACATGTGTAAGTCACCAGCAACCGAAAAATGAATTTCCTGTGTCGCTAGAATCCACCCAGAAAGACAGCATATACGACACTATCTTAATATTATCCTGATGTTCGAATGTTAATGATACCGTTCTGCTATATTGTTTTCTTGCTACTATATAAATGTAGGGACCACTGGAGTGTCCATAATATAACCTGTTTGGTATCTTTTTGTAGGTATTTCGGATTTCCAGCTATTTACCTATCGTTAATCCAGGTTAGGTAATGCCTGCGAGCTTCGTCCTGGGCCCTTTTTGTTGTTGTACGCTTTCAGCTTTCAATCTGTCTCTTTATTGCACTCCGCAGCAGTGGCTGGGCATGTCACTGCTACTTCTGCTAGGTGCTGCTATTTGCCCCGTTTTCTAGTCGGTGCTCAGTGGGGCTGGGTTTGAAAAAACATCCTTTTGCCACGCAGATCTGTGTGGAGTCCCCTAGCAAGGAACAAGCAGCTCCAAAGAAGCCTCCTTTGTCAAAACATACACCCACGCCCAAACATCCTTTTTTAGTAATGGATAGATAGGAATGCACAGAAATTCTGTAACTACTTTGCTCCGAACTTTTTTTTTCTAGTTCGCTTTTCCTATTTCATAATGAGTACTCCAGTGGTGAATCTCGTTGCACCTAAGGAGTTTAGAGCTCTTCCTGATCCTCTACTTTCCTGAAAAATCCAGTTTCAAGAGCTTTATTCCTAGGCAGTGAAGTCTAGTTCAGTTTTAGAAATTGAGGTACACGAGCTCGATTCTCGTTCGTTCGTTCGTTCGTAAATATGAAAAGCTAGGGAGCAACTGCCACTCTTTAGCCGCTTCCGGTAAGCAGCTATCTCTAAATCACAAAAATGCTAAAACCCTTCAGTATATTCTTTTCGATTACGCATTATATTTCCCAAATTTAAATAGAGTCTAAATGGCTACGTAAATTTATGTAAAGCTGTAGGAAACGTATGCGAGTGAGATTATTATTAGGGTAGGAAGAGTATAGTAGCTGGTAGTTTCGAGTCGAATCTATGTATTTTCTACAGTTTAGAAATGTTACATGTTTGCTAGTTAGATAGAGCCATTGAGACATAGAGTCAAGATAATCACCCAATAATAGTATAAAGCTAAATGGTAGTATTTTCTATTGTGACAATGTAATGGGACAAAAATTTACCTCTTGATAACGAAAAAGTCTATGATTTTTGACACATATTAAGAGATACAGATATTGAGATAGAAAAAGCTTCAATAATTTTTCATTTAGTCAAACGGCATTATAATCTAATTTTGTAGACATAGCTTTGTAGTGATCTTCGCCCGAGCTAGCCATATCAGGAAAACCTATTTCGCTTCTTTGAAAAATTTGCACTCTGTAAAAACTTCGAACAGGCTTTACAACGCTTCTCAGAACAACTTAGACCTAAAAGCCTATATACGGACAAGGAGAAAGAATATTTCTGATAAGTAGGTTCGGATCAACTGAAGCTTGCTCTGTCCTCCAAATACAATGAAGAAACAAACTGCAGTAAGTAATTTCTTAGACTGCAAACTGCTTGGCTCAGCAGCCTTTCGGTCGAAGAAAAGAGAGAGAACTTAATTGCGTAACTTAAACAAGAAATAGTTAAAGAACAAGAATTACAACTTTTAAATTATTAGATAAATGCCGGGATATACACTGTAATGCTAATAGCAGCAAGGACGCTTACGTTATACGTAAAAAAAGAGGCAAACGTACGGTAGTTATTACCATTTAAAGACTCTGCCAGTTGTTGAACTTGATACATTTATATGTATATATATTTGTGTGTATATATATATATATATATAAGATGGTGCAGCCAAGATGACCGACGCACCCAAGCGAGACCGATGTTGTCTTGATGTAGCCAGAATCATCAAAGGTCATATTGAGCCTTATATACAAGTTTTGGCAAATCATCAAGTTTGAATTGTAGGCAAACATCAAGCACTACACATTCGTATCTATTCATGTGCATATAGATTTTTACGCAATTCGGAGTAAAACCCCTACCGCGTCTACCCCAAGGAGTCTCCCTAAATACTTTGGACTTCGGGTTTGTAACCCACCCTACACTACATGTATGTGACAATAATAATGTTTCACTTACTTACACTTAATGCCTGCTCCGAGCACGATGAATATAGGGTATAGCAACATTATTCCACTAGCAGCCGTTCCGTAATATGGATAGGGATATTCACCTGTGTCCATGTGTTGCTACATGCGCGCGAGCGACCTGCTTTGAACGTCGATTTCACGAGTGGCTGGCGAGCCGCTTGACTGGCTGTTCGGCCTGGCAGAGTTTTAGCACCAACGTCTCCGGGGGAGATCAGAGGCCACTGTGACCGCCGCTGTTCGACGATGATTCCGTCGTAACTTGACGATGAGAAGGAAAACAGGAAAGAGAAAACCGATCACAAGCATTAGCTGGCTTCTCGAATGATGAAATCTCTTTTGGCTGTTAAAAGAAACTTCGATTAACACGACTCCCCTAGAGGGCCCCCACCGCGCCAGTCCAAGCAACAACCAATAAATGTGGCAAGGAACACGTTCGCTTGGTTACCGCTCGACGTCGTCATCCGGTCGCCCTGGGCCTCGACTCTCGCAGCGCACCGACTCGCTGGAGCTGGCGGGATATCGCATCGAATCGAATCGGCGAACTAACTGCTACCGAATAGCGAGCGCGTATTCTCGACAGAAGCGTCTCTGTTACTGCACACAACTATTACCGTTGCTACTGCTGCCGCTTCGTCGCCGTCAAAACCAACGGAATCTGGAGGGTTCATTCACAAGTGTGTGCTCTGAACAGATTGTTGTCTACTTCTGGAAAGACGCCGATTTCCCTTCGATCGTCGCTGGTTTTGGGCACGGATCCCGTAACGCCTGCAGAATGCAAGACGCCAGACGGGCGGATACCACAAGGGGCAATGGCCTGCTCCTGTTCTGATCACGGAACGAAAACTTGTGCATCTTAAAATAAAAAAAGAACAACGAATTAAGCAGTCGAAGACGGATTCAACGAAGGCACTAGACTAATTGATAGGTAAAGCTACCGATAAAGACTACACGACCAGCTACAGGCCAAGAGAAAATATCTCCTGCATTGTTGCGGTGCCGCATTTTTTGGATTTACAATTATATACATCAATATATAGTGCTAATAAAGATACCTCATATTTGCAATTTTTATCATGTTTGTCAGAGTACAGGAATTTCATTAACTTATAATAGGGCAGCTTTTGCCATTGCGGAAGTGGGTTCAACTGTACGGATGGCCTATGGTAAGGACGTCTTGAAATTATAGTAATTATTTAGCTAATTGGTTCAAACTTCCATATCATTCTTCCCTGACTATAGACATAGTTAAAATATTCAATGATAATTAATTTTATTCGAACCGTATACCTGTATAACACGTATACATACACATGCTATAAACAGATGTGTTTCGTTTAAGTACTTCGTATTTTTTTAATAATTGAACTAATTGTATTACCAGCGTCAAGGCATATTGTGGATGGTTACTTGGTCCATATTAAAGCTATGGGAAAAAAAAAAGCAAAAACCAAAACAAATTGGCTTTTAAAGCCAAGAGAAACCTTTTTTAAAAGGTTATTTATGAGCAAACCTTAACCTTCTCTTTTCAGTAGGAAAATACTGTAATATTCAGAGGGGGCGAGAAACATGTTATCTGCACGCTCTCTGTCCATATCTCAAGCGTACATATTCGTCGATACTTTTATTGTATTCTAGGGCTGGAATCTTATTGGATAATTGATGATAGCTTCACATGTTTGCAATCAATATATAAGAATGCTTCCCTATGCCTTCACAAGGAACTTACTAATTAATAGGATCTGTCAACGGAGAAAAGGATCCGTGTTCACTGATTAGGACATGCGCTCATTTTAAATGTGTCGGTTAATCTGTTCATCGGCTTGCTATGGCTGTACACTGTGCCTTTTTTATCAAAACATTGAGGAAAATGGTTTCAATCGTAACTATACGCCACGTTTTGCAAAAACCGACGTGATAAGTATACAGAGATACTACATGCTCGTTTGCTTTTGAAGCGTTTACTTCTACAATCCTTCGTTATAGCTCTATATATAATGAGGACGTATTGGGTTTATAATTAATTATGAGGATGTTGCATATTCAGTGGGCCAGTAGGATGAGCTAAGTTCAAAAGCTTTTTTTTGCCCAGCTCCTAACACTATATACCTTGCTGGTTTTTTTCATTATTTTCAAGTGTTTAATTAATTATAGTGTAAGGGCACGTTCGATGGCATTAATTTTAGCTGTGTTAAGGGGGCAAAACGTTTTTCGCGGTTTTTCGTCTCGCCGGTTCCGCCGTCATTGGAAAACCTTGAGCGATGTTAGCTACCTCGAACGACTGTGGCTTGCTATCGCTGAGCTTTGCACGAGTGAAATCATGTCTAATCTACCATATTGAATTTTGTAATTGAAAATTGGCGTGGTTCATTTAAATCCTTTTGGTGAGGAAATTCGTGTATTTCTGTTCTTCAAGTTCAAGCTCGAAGACACTGCGACGAACGCTTCTTCTGAAATATACGCTCCCTTTGGGCATGCAGCTGTATCTATTCACAGGGTGGAATATTGATAAAAAATTTCGACCTCAAAGATGCTTCTTGTCCAAGATGATCCCCCTTGCTTAACAGCGACGAGATGATATCGAACATCACTGCCAAAATTTACCGTAAGTGATCATTAGCATTTATAAAGAAAAAAGTATATTATGGTGGGTTACCCATTAATGGACTTTTCGTTACCTCGGAACTAGTCCTAGGGTGATTTCTTGAATCGAGTTATTACAAGTTACAGAAATGGTTATAATAAAATCAGGCGATACTACCGAGTAACAAAGGCTGAATCTGATTCGACCCATCCGAAGCAAAAAAACAACAACAACAGCGACAATTATGCGCAAAATTATCGCTCACAATGAATTTTAGAAATCTAACAAATTCATCAGGAAAATATGGCTGGCACACAGCGCAAGTAGAGACTTACCGTGCTAGCGTCAAAAGCGGTATTCTTGAGTAGGGCCAAACCCGAACATAAGTAAAGAAAACCGAGAACGCTATTATGCGGCCACTAGGTGAATATTTTGTGTACCTATCATATTGACGTAAACTCACATCCTTCGCCGATCATCTATTCCTGAATATTAAACATACCATTGACGACCCAATTTTTTCACGGGATGCCAAGTGAAAGACATTCTTGTTTTTTGAATCCCATTTTTAACAACAAAGGTTTTTATAAACGCGGGACTCATAATTTGCCTAATCGACGGCATGGATGTATATCCGCCAAGGGAGACTATTTCTTTTAAATGAAAATTGTTTACTGTGGGCTCAGCTATGCGTCATACGTCCGAAAAACTTTCTACGATAGCCTCATAGCACCATATGAACAATGAAATAAAATTATTAGCAATTGGAACGGTTTAACGTGCAGTGGTGATCTGAGATCGCACTTCATAGGGAAACTCACATCGACCGAAGTTCCGAACACGCCTTGCTGATACACTTTTTCTATTGATGTGTTCCTGTTATTAACTTCTTTTTGGATTGTCGTGATCAATGTCAACACAAAAGAGAGTTATTTTAGCAATCAATACTAATGATTTCAACGACCCCCGCACAGATTCCAGTAGAATACAATTCTACTACAAGCACAGCCTTCGATAAGCAGATATTCTCTGTTCTGGATCTCTACTTGAACACACAAATACTGAACAAATACTATATTCACGACGCGTTACTATCTACTATGCATAGTATAACACACATAAGATCTACACCTGCGAGTTTATAGAAATTAAGCAATATCAATGAAATGTTTTATCTATATAATAGCATAACCTATAAAGTAATCATAAAAATAACGTTAAATTTCGCAACTAGGATGTAATATTCAAAAAGTATCAAAAGAAACAGTTTTTAAATTTTTTTTGTCAAACAAAACACTTACCTTACAGGACATTGCCTGAGGTGGTGATTTTACGACCCCTATATTAAAATGGCTATTATAAGTTACTTCAATTTGTCATTTTTCTGAAGTAATATAGTTTCCTATTATTTTCTCTCTGAAAAGAAGTTCTTCAATGTAACATCCAACTTTGCCAATTTATACTAGCATGTATTAGGTATGATATAGTCGAAGATGATTGTATCCTTGAGCTGTCTTTTTGGCCAGATCATCGTCTCCGGAAGTAAAAAGAAAGTTGCTAACCCGCGGCTGAGTCTTAAGCTCTACTACCTGTATATTGAGTCACTTTCGACCTAAAGCATAAGGCATTGCTACGGGAGACATCCAGATCCGTATACCTAAGCCCTACTTGGCCTCCACCAAAATTTAGACAGAGCAGGCTTACATTGCGGAATAGTGTAAGATTGATCAGAAATAAGAAACTAGGAACAGATATTCAGATAATTTTATGTACTTTATATTTGGCTGAAACCGCGTAGCGGTTAAAAAGATAGCGACCTGCTTTCCCGCTAGATCGGAACCCAATTAAAACTAATAGCCGAACAAAAATCTCTAAATGGTCGATTTACGCGTCTACAACGTAGCCTAATTGTTACGATTAGTAACAGAGTAACCAATCGTTTATAGAAATTGACTTAGTAATTACTATAATAAGAGAAGCTAGTTAATCCTTCATATACAAGATCGAAATTTTTTTTTTCTTTGGTCATTTAAAGGTTTAGTGTCATTAGAGTAGTATTACATTTTAAATTCTTCAGGGTAACAGATCAATTCCAGCTCGATCTTTAAAGGATAAAAAGCGCCCTACCGTATAACTAGTGTTACGTTAATGTTCATTCCAATCAGGCCTAAATCCTATATTAAGCAATATTATATAATATTATTATACTATTATAAGCAATCCTATACTAAGTCGACAAAGGACCAAGGCCCAACATTGGCACCTTGTTTGATATCGGCGTATTGGCCATCATGTATATATCATCTTTATTTCTGCGCCGCCTGTGTGACATGTCTATTATATGTGAAACGGTACCGCATACAACTTTGCAAGTATCCAACAGACACACACATATATATATCAAAGTGCCGATTAACAGTTTAAAACAGTGGTCTTTACAATCAATATATTTCTGAGTACAAGTAACGAATACTTCCGTCTTTCGCAGTAAAATATCCAATGGAACTTTTGCTTTGATATTACCCTAACGTGTCCGTAAGTTAGATTACTATAGTACACTTCATCTATCACTTTACCCCATAGTCAGAACTCGGGCCGCTTTGGAAAACGTGCATAGGGTCACCCCTTTGCGCATCACGCACTATTTCATAAACTTATTATACGGCTATTATTAGTTACATGTGACGTAAACGCGTGACTAATAACAGCCTGATACAGCAGAACGTGGGACAATTCAGCCGAGTTCAAATCAGCAGTCGATTTTTCGTCGACGCTGGAATGAACGTTTTCTTCTATATTCGGTCGCTTTATAGATTATTTCCATTGTTTTTTTTTGTTGCAATTTGCTCCGACGATAGTACTGAACAAAACAAGAGACATAACTTGTAAACAGATAAAACAAACGATTACTGGTGAGTAAAGTGTAACCTATAAACGATTCCTCAAGCAAATAACAAAGGAAGCATATAACATTAATGATTTTTTGCCAAAATTGGTATCAAACGATGCTGCACGGACTACGCCATTCCGGACCCGACATAATTGGTCATACTTCGACAACCCTTTCGCTCGCTGACGATACTAGGGAAAAAAATTTCTGGGGAACTTTCGATCGTAAAGCACTACCTCTGGAATAGGAGAGATATGCAGGCTTTCATCTTTCGAGTTCTATTACTGTCAAGCCTGAGTAGCCATTGTTGTACAATTTTAGGACATCCTAAGATGAAAATTCGATAGCTCATTCCATAACAATAGGCCGACCATAATTGCAACAGCGTCTTTGTGCATAGAATGGTAGTAAATAAATAATTAATGTCTTGTTATTATTGTACCAATGTTTAGAAGTTGTAAAATCATTGTGCGGCAGTAATTGATTTTGAAGCAAGATAAAAGTAGAAATCTAGGGTTTTCTATTTAGGTTCGGTCCAGTTTTCGATTCTTGTCGACCTCGGTAATACACTTTTATACTACAAAAGTATGGGTATAGAAAAGTAAATGCATAAAGTACACAAAAGTAGGCCTAGAAATATTTATTTCGAACCCTACTTTTGTCGTTGAACGTCGCTTTACAGCGTGGCCCCCGCAATACGGGTACATATACGAAGATGCGACCACTGCGCAGATAGTATTTTTTTTGAGATTCGAGTTACAAAGCTAAGCCTTTTTGCGCTCTTATTCGTCACGCTCCATCACACATTGAACATGATTTGTGTGAACTTTTCAATAATTTTTGAGTACGTTTTATTGTCCATTACCAGTGAATAACTCAACGTGGACATTTTTGCGTTGTTTTTCGTACCTACAGACTCCGCACGATACGAGGATTTGAAGATTCTTTTTTAATATAATGTCTGAGTTCTATGAGGCTGACGATAAGTGAGGTATCACACTACGGACCACAACATTACTGTATGAGCTACTTGGTTCTATAGCTAACTGTTGGTGCTGTTAAAGTAGTTATTTGAATACAAAAAGAAACAAAATACGTGACACGAAATTTCTATCTAATTGGTCAATAAATAAAACTCTTATGATTTTGTAATTTTGATGCTTTACTTACAATTGATAAATGAATTGAGAGAGTATCGCATCATTCCAAAAGGCAAAGGCTTCCGCTTCCGGCCCGGCATTTATACATTCTATATATCGTGTACGATCAGATAACAAAGTTAATTAATCTTGCCAAAAAAAAAATATATATATATATATATATATACAAAAATATAAAATGCTAAGAAAAATCATAATAATACATCAACCTAAAAATAGCAAAACGCAAAAAAAATGAGTAGTTGTCTAAACGAATATTCACTTATCTATTGAGTAATTTTCCCACAATAGAACAGAAATTTTTTACTTTAAAATGCCACCTTTTACTTGCGCCATCCAGATTGATCAGTTACTTGGACCATGAAAGGCTGATGTTTTGTTGAAAACTTTAATAGGGATCAGTATTTTTCTGGCTGTTTCCTCTCTACAAAGTGAAACGGCGACTTCTAAATCATTTAAACATCTAGCAATGACATGCACCTACCTTCTATACTTTAACTGCAATTTTTAATATTGTTATCTATACGCAGCACAAATAAGAACTACACTGCGATTTTGGTATGGATAATATGTGAAAGATATTTATACATATTCACAATCACGAGTTTCCTCGGACTTAGCCAAACCTCTCAAGGGAATTTTTCTACATTAAATCTGTTATTTTTCACAAGTAGAATGGCTTACATTATCATTAAAATTAGCAATTTTCCAGAAACTTTATGTACGAATGATATAACTAGCGACCGATCAGAAATATCCATGTCTGGAAGACGCAGAAATAATAACAATGCTTTTCTTTAATTATTTAGAACTGTGAGTACCTTGCAACAATATATATTGAAAGTTTATCCTTTACAGTTTTCCGCCAAACGATCAAGTTTTATTTCTATTATAAAACTTGATCGTTTTGTCAAATAAAATACACAAAACTTAGAGAAATATGGTACGAGTAAGCCCCATACGTAAGAAGTATCTTAGAACCCTCAGAATTGTCCGTGTTTTGATTCATGTGGTTGAAATCACATGAATCATGACTTGGAGAAATTATTAACAAGAAATGTGTGACACATTACTCAACAGATAATAATCAATATGGCTATGCTATAGCATACGCTTTATCGTGTAACATCACTCACTACAAAATGTATAGCAACTAAATACTTTAAGGCACTTCAAACAAGAAGACTGCACAGTTTGCTAAAGCTTGTTGTTTTCGGGAAAAGGTCCATTCCAGGGTTTGCCAGCTTCATAGGCCAAGAGATGCAGACGGTCCTGACCAAAAAACATCTCTTTTTTCCCGTTAATATGGGCTACCATGGTTGGTGCCCCAAACGCGCCATTTTCAAGCGCTTCCTCGGTATGTTTTTTCAAGATTCCTTTAATCTCTCCAGATTTCATTGAATCGAGACATTTTTTAATGACATCTTCAGGGACGCCGGCGGTGTGCGCCACTTCTGGAATACACTCCAGTGACATAATCTCTTTCTGTTCACCAAACAGTCGCTGATAGAACGCCCTGAAACGACCACCAGTAAACACATTTCATTATGAGCTGTAGATGACGTTCAAGTTGTATGGGAAAAGGACGTCTTAAAAGAGTATAAAGCCTGTAAGGTAGGTTTCTATTAGATGGACGCTATATATATATATATATATATATATACATAAGGGATCGTTTTAAAAGCGAACATGCAGCAATACTGCAGCTGAGAGTTTCTACATGAAATGCACTGTTATACTGATATAGGGTCAATTGTACAAAGTACCTCTAAAAATACTTGAATGCTTCGGGATGACAAGTAACAAACGAATTTCATAATGAGCTGGCCGTTTAAATGCATGCTTATAATGGAAAATGTAATAATAAATTCAATTTTAACAAACGTCGAAAGAATAATTATAATGTCCTTCACTCAGAAATTATTATGTCAAAGCGTTTCCGAAAAAATTTTAAATAAATTTTCGAAACACCATGAATCCCAGATCTCTAAGTTGACTGAGCATCCTGCTTCCAAATATATGTGTCTATCTTAGCCTGCCAGCCTACTTTGCCAGATGAATGACGTTGCAAAAACCAAAACAAATAACTAAAGCACCAACAGACACAGTCACATCGTAGTATCAAGTCGTATATGAAAAAAGCACGAAACTAAGTTACCTGGTGACTGGTTCTACAAATTTTGGCTCCTCAACCTGCACAGCGCAAAGAAACCTTTGAGCGTTGACTGTCGAACTTGATACAATCCACTCCATGAACTCCTGCGGTATTTTTAAAGGCACCTGGTAGTACCTGGAAAGGCGCGACAAATCCTTCATCATGTACAGGCCCCGATTAGGTACCTAGAAGCAACGATCATTTAAGGCGGCCTACATATTAGGGTCGTTTTTATTCCAAGACTTGTGTCGTTTTCAATCTTCCCTCGCAACATTCTCCGAAGCGGGCCACATGCAAGTAAAAATACGAAGTTTGCAATGCCCAATTATTTCTTTGATATTACTTTATTTTTGAAAATAATATAAGGTAGTAATTACGAAATATTTATAAATAGTCTCTTTTGCTTTTTATTGATTACCATAGCAGGCGGCATATTTCCAGTTTCGCGCATAATACCGCCGAGAAAGAATGGCTTGAGAGCCAGTTCCATATTCCACAATCGACGGTATCGACAAAGAGCCTCGAAACATAAATACGAAAACGGTGATATCACGTCATAATAAAGCTCCACCAGAAGGCGTTTGGATGTCATTGTTATTTGCTCTGAAAAGGGTATAGAAGCAGGAAACATCTTAATAACAAGAATTAAAAAAATTGTTTATACGCAAGGATTATGAGTGTAAATCGACTCGGCAAGGATAAACCGCGTAAAAAGAATACCTCATATTCCTAGCGTATTCCAGTGCAAATATTTTACAGCCTGTCACAATCGACTAATTCGATTGCTTTCATATTGTCCTATTGATGCCTTATTGCAGGGTGTCCTTTATTGGCAACGCCAATAACGCGTCCATTATTTTATGACTCGAGACTTGCATCTTTTACATATGCCGTCGGGCGTCGATTAAGACCGCTGGCCATTGCTAGCACGAAACGACAATTTTTAAGTTATTCAATTGGGCTGAGCTTGTAAAATTTAGCTGTAAGCTAAACACCGTAATTGTCAGTGAGAAGTCTAGTAAACAAAAACAATAATCACCTTATTTATATCACTTATAATAAGCCATATTAAAAGTATTTTCCAATAGTTCGGGTTGTACCTTTATTACACCTAAACTACCTAAGATACCTAAATTAACAGCGGATCTTCAGATATATCGACTGAACTGGTCTTGTTAACTATCTAGACAGCCTACCAACGTTTATATTTAGTGCAAGAGTAACTCTTTTCTCGAGTCCTATGAAGTTTACCTTTTAATTGAGTCTATGTTTTGTCCGTACTTCACTTTACAACTCTTCGTACAGAGTAGCTACAATGCGATCTGCATTAGCATCAAGCACCACCGTTCTAACGACATTTTTTCAATGTACTAAACTCAATAGACAAAACGACATTCAGCTTCCACAATACGTCACAAACATACAAATAAACCAAGTTGTTCTCAGCTCATAACTTTACCAAGTAACACTGACCAGCCTTTTTTGTTGCGAACGTTTCTTCCACCTAAGCAACAATGTTCAGTTAAATACTCTTTCTGTTGTGTCGTGGCGTTTGTTATAATTGTGTCCCTCAAGGTGATAAGCACATTTAAAATTACCTGCCATTCCGTATTCTTACTCACCTGCGCGTTTTGTTTGCGATTAGATAGGGACAACCTGTTTGCTTGTTAAGGTTACCGTTCGTCAAGCAGTGATGTCTATATGCTTTTCGCGTTTAACATCCGATAAGGACGTTAACCATTGTTTCAAACTGACCGGTTCTTTCCAGCACGAAACGATATATGCCTATGTTTGGTTTCAAGCCTGTTACGACCTGTGGTGCCTGCTATGTCACGGTGACGTTGCTAAGAGCGAACGCTCACTCGAAGATCATCACAGTCATATGTAAAGGCGCGGTTTGAAATTTGGCGCTATTGGTGCTACGCGAGCAGACTACTGCAGCCCAGCCAGCAAGCGTCGTGCGATGGTCACCCCGCTGTAAGCCTGTCTACCCACTTACCATGCTGCCATCTTCTGAGCGACCTGTTCTCTCGGTTCGGTCTGAGTTTGGGATTGTTACAGGTTCAACAGGCAGCAACTTGTCCAGTTCTCGCTACTTTTGTTTTGCCCGCTACTCACAGCAGGTCGAGTTGAGGGAGAGGGTGCCGCATCGGTCGGCTGTTAACACCGGTGAGCCGTTAACCGGATCACTGGAGGACCGCTGGGCGAGGGTTCTGCGCAGGGGAACCACCAATGAGCGTTGAGCTCAGAGTAGCGAGGCAAGCCCATGAGTAGCAGAAGGATCACAAAGCTCTCGTAACCATTGCTTCCGCGCTGCGCGCTGTGTAATGGGCAATCTAATTGCCTGCTTAAGCAATTCTCGTAGCAGTTCTTTATATAAATCTATCTTCAGTGTTGTACTCCGTATAAAGTAGATCTCCTGTTGGTACTCTACGTTGTTCATCAATCTATTTACGTACTGCTAACTGCTAGCAAGCAGCGATAGCAAAACTGCGTAGGTCCTTACGAGAGAGCAACAGCAGAAAACAGTATTGAAACGCTATCCGAATTCAGTTGATCAGTAGCGTGATCAGAGTGGAAAAGCAACATTCGTGTTTCCGGAAGCCGCCGTATTAATAGCAAGAATCAGCCCGGCAGCAACAGCACCTGACAGCTGCCGGAGAGAAACCCAGCAACGGAGGTCACAGCCTAGAGCCGAGATCCGCAGGCCGTTATTACAGGTGTTTCAATTGCCGTAGTCGCTTCTGTTTAAAGCGGAAGAACCACAGTGAAAGTGGTTGATGCATTTTCCGATTTGCCGAGAACAGACGAGACTATACGTTCCTTCTTGCGTTGCGCCAATAATCGTTTTGGTTAGCCTTCTATCCAATTGTACTGCTATAGTCGAATCTCTCTACTCTCACTTGCCTAAATTACACAAGCTAACAGAAGCAATTAGGCGCTAAATCAGTAGCTTTATTGTACTACTATAGCTGCTATATAAGCCTGCAGGCTCTGTTAGTTTATGGGGCAAAAGATATTCCCGAACGACGTATGAGCTTCAGGAGGCAGATTACCGTAATCAGAAAAGAGCTTCGAAGGAAAGCGAAAAAAAGAGTTCTAGTCACTCGTTCGTAGCACATAGGCAGCCAGCGTAGATACATAAAATAGTGGCGCTACCTGTTTTGAAGAGAAACGCAGCAGCAAAAAAATAGGACGTAAAGAAATACCAGGCGTCACGCTAGCCAATTATTTAAAGGCGAGCAATCACAGCAGCAGTAGCAACTGTATCACAATTCGTTGTGGACGGCTTTATGCACGTTTTTATCTAGGCACGTTAGCGCAATGTCAGGACCAGCAAGTTAACCACACATCTGCTATAGCACGACCTACCAAAATTATCTATAGCAAAAGGAGAAAAAGTCTAAAGTGAGTGTAGTCTGTAGTTTTTCCTTTTGACAAACGCTAGCCGGACAGAATACACGCAGCCACTTAAACAAGTATTGGCACTCACGGCAATAGCGGAAACCTTGTAGTAAGGGATGAAGCACCCTGACACAGTGCCTAGCTAATTCGTTCTAAAAGAGAAATTGTGCGCTGACTGAACTTCGATCAGTTCTCAGTGTCTCCAGGTAATGAAAACAAAGAATGAACTTATCTCGTGATAGCTGGGTATTTCAGTTCACTAGTGGAATCTAAACGCTACTTCTTATTTCCATAGCTACCTAATCTTCGGTGACGACTCGACGACATCGACTTTTTGGCAACTTAGCGATACTCTACGACATATTCTAACGACAGCAGCAATCAATGCGAACTGCATAATAGTAAACTGCGCCAAGCTTTTTCTGCTACTACAGCTACTGCTACACTGGAAAAGACGCTATTTTCCGCCGTGATAGACCTACAAGACTACTTTCAGTTATTTCTAACTTTGTTCCTTGCAGAATGAAAGCCTCGATCTAACTTCTATCAACCCCATCCATCTAGCAGAAAAAACATAAGCCGCTGCCACCCGCTGGGCCTTTTCAATCGCGCAAGCTGCTCCACGTCGGAATTCCCTGTATGCAGTCCATTGGACAGGGTTGAACAGCCGAGCAAGTTGTACTGTATCTGATCTAGGGCTTTATAGCCTAGATAAATGGGGCAAGCCTGGCCCTTATGTTGAATCGAATCTTTGCGTTTTCCCGCCTGAAAAATAGCTCTAGCGAAACTGTTGTCCACACAAAGTGAGTGCTGTCGCTGTTGTAGAACTACAAATCTACATTACTGAAGTATAAGTTTGCGACCCATACCGTCTATTGTTGGCAACGGCAAAAAAAACCTGCGAGAACAGCTCGCGCAACGATTGCATGCAGTCTTCATCGGATGATCTACGTTGGCGCCACGTCTCTTCGCGCATCGGTTGCCAGTTCATGGTTCTACAAGTACGGAGTTATGCTATAAGCTAAGGGCAGGTGTTGGTCCGAGACTGGGTCTAGTGGATCTTGAATTCATCACAAAGCTACCTATTCGAAAAAAACACACAGCTACCTAAACATCTGCGCGAATAGCTGAACTCTCTCCGCGCTAGTGAAACAAAATGACAGTCAGCTGTAGCTCCGCTATCGAATCGGGTTGTCGTGTTTAGGACATTTTCCCCAGCGACCTAATCGTGCTAATCCTTATCAATATGCTGCTTCTTATTCCGTTACGCTGAGTTGGCTTGCAAACGCTCCCTGTTCTTTGAGCCACACTAGCGGCGATCCGCAATCGCGACAGTCATCAGCTGACTTACGATAACAGCTAGTTTTAGCTAGTTTAGCTAGCTACCGACAGCGGGTAACTGACCAAGTAGACGTCGCCGACGTCAGTGATTGAACTCACGTTTTGTTTGCCGTAGCAGACGGCAGCTGCAGCGGCAGCAACAACAAAAACAGCAACAATTGTTCCCCGTACAGTCGTAGCGCCAGCTGAGCGATTGACGACGACAGCAGGCCTAAATACTGCCATAAGTTTGGATCAGCCCGGTAAACGTAACAGCTAGCTCAGGAACAAGTGTCAGTCAATTAATGATAACAACACTGGTAACAATAATCACCAGGACGTCAGTACTGAGCATAGCGAAGCGTCTGAACATAACATGCGTTCGCCTTGGACGAAATGACTCCAGTCTCGGCGGAAACTGAAAGCGAGAGTGTTTGAAAAAAACCCACTACCACTCCCTAAAACGAATTTAAGGGTTGCTTGATCAGTCCGAGTCGTTGTTGTCAATTCAGCGTAGCATTAAGGCATTCAAAGTCCGTGAAGATTGTGGTGCCGCTTAGTAGATCAGTGAAAAAAAACAACAAAAACAAGCGTCCCATTAATAAATCGACCAGTTTCGAACGATCATCTATCGCCAAGCACAGCAGTAACTCCTCCATATTTCTAGGGAGGGAACAGGTACTATCCTGCCACACCGTAGTACAGGTCTAGTGCAATTCAGTGCTAAAACAGCAGCAGCAGCTGTTAAAGGACAAAATGGATTTTATTTCGAACGTGTGGAACAAGGCCGCCTCCGCCATCGTCCCCGAAAATGGCAATTCGAAAGAGTCAAAAGCCGCGGCAAATGCCCAGGAAGCAACAGGAGCCGCCCAGCATGAAAACAACGCCATCAGTGAAGCCAATGTAAGTTTGTCTCATAGTTGCATATTATAGAACTTACGAAAGGGTAAAGTACCAGCACAACAGGGCAAAAGACACGGTGAACTATGATAGCATCAAGTTTAGGCGTGCTGCAAAAAGCTGGGTCAAGATGGGCCATAAAAGCGCTAGTGCTGTCATAGTCAGCGATCGTTAGTGTAGGAAAATATTACGATAAATCTTGTAGACTACATTTGTACAAAGAAATAATGGCGTTTTATTTCTCCAAGAGTAGTGAACGGGCAGTTGTTGACAGTTACGTTGGGGCCAAGGGGTGCCGTTAGCGTGAAGTAGAGGGCGGGCAGAGACAAAAAACTTACAATCCATGGCCCATTTCGGATGTGTGTTGAACGACGGATGATTTGGAACTGCGCAAAAAGTGCAATATACTAATTTGGTGGGGCACGGTTACTTGAGTAGTCCGAAGTAGTCCCGTGTACTTGAAAAAAACCCCAGAGTTTCACTTTTGAAGGATTCGCTAATGTGGCCTAGTAATATGAGTAGCAATAATGGGTGGAGGGCGTGGGATGTGGAGTAATAATAAACACACAGGTGCAAAGAAATAGAAAAACACTCGATATGAAGGCTGGTGCTGGCATCCGCCATGTATATCCCACCTCTGCCTATGATACGATGGTCAATGACAATTGTGATCAACGTAAATTACATCGTACGCGTCGTGTATGTGGCGTAGTGACTAGTGTTGGCAGTATAGCGTTACGATGAAATAAGGCCAAGCCGAATCAGATCGAGTGAAGCTGGACTAGTTACAGCCGAACCAATTGTCACCGCGTGTTTATTGTCTTAATTTGTGTATTGTGATTAAATTCGTGGCTCAACTCAGAGCACCTCTGTGTTGTGCCGTCGAAAAGGCGATGTAGGGGGTCGGTGGGGCGCGACGCCGACCCAACAGACGACAACGCACACTTGTTGTCATGCCTCTATTGACACAGTGGCCGTTGTTGCAACAGTTTTGGTGGTGTTGTTCTCGAGTGAATGTGTTTCCGTCGGAGCATGTAAGCATTTCGACGAAATATGTCGATGTAAATGGATAAACATTTATCGTATTACGACTGCATGACGAGGGTCTACAAGTACGGCGCGGAACCTGTCATTTATCCATGGTGATGGCGCGAATGTCGAACTGTAATGCTTTTAGTAGTACAACACTGGACGCGGTTTCTTAACAAGGCCAGAGTCATACCATATAAAATTATGACTGATTAGTGTGTTTTCGTTCCGTCGAAATAAATTCCTAACAGATAACGGGTACAGGCGTCTTTTTCTGGATTAAAGAGCCGTGCGAATCTGCGTGTCCAAATTTAAATTAAATTATAATAAGTAATAATAAAAATGTCGTTACATTTTGTGAATTATTGAAGGCTGCGCCTGTTCGGGGTGTCTCTTTTACTTTCTAACGGCCAGAACGTGATCTGTTTATTACCTATGCTGTAACGTGTATCGAAGCCTCTTCGCCAATAAAATGTGTCCTTCTATCTAAAGGCATACACATCTCATTCGTACGCGCAAGTTTACATCATGCTTTGTTGCAGTTCCCCGCAATGTTTCTATCCGAGTTAAACTTAAGCAGGGGCACTACCATCATCATCATTAACAGCATTACATCCGCTAAAAAAGAGGCTAAGTCAAATTTCGGTCGTAGTGGTAGCCCATGGCAGACATTCGGTGTGGAGATTTCTCCCGCTGCCGCCGCTGCTGTTGTTAACATTAGCCACAGCTTTTGCTGGCGTCATCGCGACTATTTAGCTATTTCGCTCGCCCACTGCCGCTAACATTTGAAAGCTAAATTGTGTGTCAGCTGGAATCGGCAACGCGTGCAGTTTGCCAAGAACCTCTGCCTCTCTGCGTGCGCCGTTACTGCTAGAGGTAAAGGAAGTTGCGGAAATCCTCAACATTCTGACAAAAGAATTAGCTTCAACTACCGAGGGACGTACGTCTGGATGAACAGAAGCTTTGGTTGCGGCTAGAGAGCAGAATGCTAGTTTCCGAGAACTAAAAAAGGGGAGGAATGGTGGTGGTTAAGGGACAAAGTCGAAAGTAGAAAACATGGTATCTTTGATACGATGTTAGGGTGGGAAGAGCATAAAAATGTTCAGTTGCTGATTTATTTCCAATCCTTAATTATTATCTTCGGCATGTACTGCTGCACAGCCGCCAGAGTCCGGAACCGCCGTACCGCTCAAGACGGGCTGATGGCTTGAAACGTCCATCTGAAATATTTGGGTCAAGTAGCGCAGCGAATAGGTGGCAAAATACAGCTTTATTATTGCTTACATAAGCAATGCCTAGGTTTCGAGATGCCTTCGTCGTTTCCATCACGGGTGTGACGAAAACAAACTAGTATACTACTAAACTGTATGTCGCATATAGCTTACAATCATACACAAAAGAAAGGTGGTAATCACATTTAGATAAACGCCAAAGACTTGTCACGGTAAAACGCTTGGAGGAGAATTGGATACGTCAGAAGAGTTTATTAGACCTCTGATATATCACTATATTTATGTGCATTTAGAACAGCGACTGTTGCTACCTGGTTTCGTTAACCAGAGTTCGCTGTTCTCCTCTGGAGTTTCTTACGAAAGCCTCGCTTGCCAAATTGGATCAGCACATCAGTATCTGGCAGACTGTCGTTTAAGCGGATCAAATCGAACGACACAACGATAACCTTTTGTTGCAAAGCATAGAAGCTCTACGTTTATGACCGACAGTACGACACCTTAATATGTCGAACGTAATAATTGAAGGCATAGGTACTCCTGGGCCAAAACCTTTATGGGAATCGGATTTAAAATTGGTTGGAATGCGGGTAGACTGTTACTGCGACTTCGGGATTTGTGCGGGACTTTCAATTACGTGGGGCATATTCGAAAGGTTTGGAAACCACAATGAGGAAGGATTGAAATCCTTCCTCATTGAGATTAGTATTCTGATAGTCGCCTGTTGGAAAGGTAGCTACGATTTCCAATGTAACCGTAAATACAAACTGCCACTCACCTGGCTTATGGTGACCCTATCAGGAAGCATAATTTGAAGTATATGCTAGCCAGTAGTCGAAGTGGCAAGCTGCCGTGCAATTGAAAACTCATATTCCTTATACTAGTATATTTGCGAGTGTTATTGGGCCGGCATGTCCTGTATAATTAAATACTAAAAGCCAGAACGTGCAAGTTACAGATGAACTTGCACATTCTGACTATATCACAATTTGTTTGAAACTGGATGTCTTGCACGATATTACCGGATTTACAGAAGGGAGTAGTATTTGTTGTGGTGCCGAGCGACCGTTCGCGTTCTACCGTACGACGACGTACTCAGAAGATGAATTTAAAAGAATAATTTATATGTTGGATTGCGTGAGCTATTAGGATAAGAATTTACGACGAGTTCCCCTCAACGAAATCCATGAAGGAAAGCGAGTTCTTGCATATGGCTAGGAGCTTATAACGGTTGGAGGCAAATAACTTCAGTATTGGAACATAGCTTTAGGTGGTGTTCCGCAACGGTCGTACGACAAAACGCATCATACTTCAGATTGATTATAATAAGGTATTATTTTTAGAACGCAGTTCTGGACATGATCATTTATGATGTTGACGATGCTCAGCTAGCGTCATAATCAGTTATGGAAAACAGTCGGAATCAAACTGCAAGCCATAATGGCGAGTTTCGACCGTCAGCCTTTTGCATGGTATACTGCCACGTAGCCATCTGATGAACGCTTATTTGTGATAATTCCGTTTTCGATATAGAACCGAACATCGGGATATTACCGATTGCAGATTTCTCCATTTTAATTATATTGGTTTCCATTGCCATCAATTGTTGCGGCGAGCAAAAGACTGCGAAGCCCATAAGGGTGTGTTTCGTAAGCAAGGTTAAACACAGCTTTGCAACGTAAGTATTTTAAGGTTTTTAATTGAGGTCTGTTGTTGCTCGAATGGAAACGCAGGAGAGACCTGCGCTTTCATCAAAGCCTCTTGCGCGATTTTATCGTAATAACTAATGTATCGTTTTTTTTTTGTATATGTACATAAACTGATTTATTGACTCATGTGAGAATATCATAAATTTCACTATAGATTAAGACCGTTTGTCCTGCAGCATCGTGAGGAAACGGGACGGACTACCTGGCGGGTGGACATATATTAGTAATATTATCGCCAGTAACTGAAAGAGAGCATCTAGTAGTGTCATTTAGACATATTTAACTTCAGTGTCTGTCCTGAGTGGACATCTTAAAATGAACGTGCAGTTATATTTAGCCAGTTTCAATTACACTCGAATGTAATGTTCTAAAAGCAATGTCCTGTTTGCAGTTATATTTAGCCAGTTTCAATTACACTCGAATGTAATGTTCTAAAAGCGATGTCCTGTTTGAATTGGGATCCTAACAAAAATGGCGAATCGACCCGAAAACATTTTTCCTTGCAAACTTTTTTTTCGTGTACATTTTTATCGCCGTTTTTTTTGCGCAGGGAAAATCCTAGCGGATTATCATAGCAAACGCCAGGACTAAATAACTTAGTTTACTTGCTTAATGTTCACCTACAAAAAGTAGCGGAAGAACAAAAACTTAAACGTTAAAACCTGCAACTGTCGGACAGGTTTTTAACTGCATTATTTCCAATCATCCTTGTTGGGCTTAGAATCGATCGGCTCTGGAACAATTCGTGTTTCATTATATTCGTAGGTTGCTTAGACCCAAGCGGTCTCAGTGAAATAAATTATGTTCAATGTTTAAGAATATCAGTGTATAGAAAAAAAAAAAGGGTCAACTACATCTAGCTGTCATACTAATAATTATCTAAAGTTGTTCGCAACCGCGGAGGTCCATCATATGAGTCTCTCATACCGTGTATCGTCTAGTTAACCTGTCATCCCTAACTCGAGATCTGTATGTCCCACCACTGTATTCGGTAAACGATCCTAGCAGATGTCTTCGGGATTTGAAAGTACAGAAT